TGCAGAAATAAAAAATATATACAATATTTCTTTCTCACTTTTAATATCACCACTTTTTAAAACCTGGATCATCACTCTTTGAGGGAAATGAAGAGAAATAGTTATCATTTTCTCTTCTCTGTGTCCCCACACATTGCCAAAATGATCCATATAATTTCAATATTCTTTATTTATTGAAAATGTTCTTTGTAAATCATGGTATGCTATGTGCCTTTACCTGAATCATTTTCAGAATTTCATCTGGTAACACCAAAGACAAAACCATTACTCATAACCACTTTTCTTTCACATCACAATAATTTATCAGAAGGAAATGATGCACAATATTTGGTGTTGCATATTTGAAATGGCATCTGACATTTTTGTTTCACAACGTTTTCTTTGAAGTTAATACTGCTGACTTGAGGTAACACCAAGGACATATTAAGTAACACCAAAGACATTTAGTGATTATAAAGGGACCTAAGTTAGGGTGTTTTCATAAATTTAAGTGTTAACTATGAGTTAAGAGTTGAAATTACAATGGCACAAGACATGTTTTACCCTTTAACACTAACTTCAAAATTATTACTTGCTGACTTGTGGTAACACCAAGGACATATTTATTAACACCAAAGACATTTAGCTTCATCTAACTATAAGTTAGAATGTTTTAATAACAATACAAATATAAGTGTTAATATGATTGAAGAGTTCTAATTTCAATGTCACAAGACATTGCCCATTCTAGTTTAATAATTGCTGACTTGTGGTAACACCAAGGACATTTTACATTACATCAAGGACATATTAAGTAGTACCAAAGACATTTTGTCATGATTTAGGTACCATCAAGGACAGTAACACCTAAGACATATTTTATTCAACATGAAATAAAAATACAAATAACTTCTCCCTGTACAGTAGCCGACAACATTCATTACCAGTGCATTTAACTCTTCTATTATGCATGTAAGGATGTTTTGAAAAAGAAATAGTTTTCTTTATAACAAGGTTACACTAAAGACATGGAAATTACATATGGTGATTCTCGGTGCTGCCTTTTTTTCCTAGTTTAAATAACGTTTTCTTCTGTTGACTCAAAAGAAATTCTCCGTGAAAGAGAGAAATTGATGTGATAAGGGAACATTCATTTACCTTATGTCTACATAAAGATGGATAACTCTGACACCTAACTAAACAAATTGTAAAACCAAGGGCAGACATATTTTGGACAGGCAGGCTTTGCTTATTTTTCATTATTTAATGACAGAAACATGGAGGAAACTGATGTTTATTTTTGAGATTCTAATCACATTAGTAAAATAACGACATAATAACTCGTGTATATGACACAAAATATGAAATATGTTCACTGAAAAATGCATTCGGTGTCTATTAATAGACAGTGATATTTCAATAATTCAGACTATATACCACTCCACCACAAGTAAATAAAGCATAAATAATATTTTATTTTGGTTCCACATTGAAATATTAGGGAAGGAAGTTAAGGGCTATCTCAAACTTTATTTAAGATAGAGATTACTGCCATAAAAAGGGTACATATTTTGATAATGACCCTCATATAAAATGCAGAACAATAGTATGGAATGGAAAATAAGAAAAAAACTTGTTTATTTTGTCTTCTTACTTCTCAAATGACCCGATAGACCACAGGCCTTAGCGTCTTTGTGTTGGAGCGAAAGAGAAACTAGGGAATTCCATATTACTGCATTAGATTTAACTGCGCAGTACGTATTTTTCATTTAATCAATATATTTTAATGTATGGATCTGTAATATCCTAACCAATCTTTACATTTGAGCTAATCGAGTTCTACGTCAAGATCACGAGGATTGAATGACCTTACGTGTAAGACAAGAAAAGAGCTCTTACCGCCTTCGACATTGACAAGCGTTGTGAAAAACACAGAAGTTACGTAAAGATAATGAATATTCCGCTCTAAATTCGTCATGTTGATAATATGAGTCTTGCAGGCAAAGGCAGTACACTTCCACGCATGTGATACCACAGGTATTCCCTAGATTATGTCGTCATGTCTATTTATATCTTTGTATACACACGCAATGATATGGCAATGTTCTATTTATGGGTTAAGCGTCAGTGCCCGTGTATAACTGTTACTTTCACCAAAAACCGCCGCCGCCGCCGCCACCACGGCACACGAGAGAAACGGTCGCTACATCTGTGGTAAGCAGAATACATTGTGTTATTTGTTAACTTTTGTTTATTTTTTACTAAATAATATAAATGTTAGAAGAAAATTAATGTTCTTAGTAAATTTTTATATTATCAGCATATTTTACCCTAGGCAATATAGTCAAGATAAGTAACACAAGAGAAATACGTTCATAATAATAATAATAATAATAATAATAATAACATTGTTTAACAAAGACAAAACAATTAAATTGTGCTCAATAATAGTTTCGAATATTATTTTAACTTTTAAGAAATAAGAACTAAAAGATATATCAATACATGTCGCATTGTATACATCAGGAAAGATAAATAACAACTTATTCAAGGCTCAATTTGGTACTATGAGGGTACAACAGCATCGTTATTTCGGATGGCACCATATATCCCCTTTGAAAATCGGCCAGATCAATGAATCTTTTTCCCATTTCTTCCATTTTAATGAACAGATTAACGAATCTTATAGAACACAAGAATATTGGCGTTCACCCTGGGTTTGTCAACATCCGTGCTGCTTGTTTAACCAAACTGCACAACGTCTGCGTCACTTTCAGTTTTTTTTCGATTATAAACACCCCGCGACATGAACACGTGCTCAAAGTCGCTGGTATGAATCACGGAACAATGCCTTGTCTGCACGCAGCGCAGCCAGGGCCCCGTTCCACAAAGCAGTCTCAGCGCTAAGGTTTTCGTAACTCCCATACTTTAACACAGACATACGATAATCGTAGCGCTAAGATCGCTTTGTGCAACGGGGCCCAGGTCGACTTTGTTGCTATTTTTGGTATCCCGTCACAACATGGTATGAAACCTGTGTGGGTTGTTCTGGTGTTGCTGTACATGTAATGTGAAACCTCATTCGTCCGATTACCCCGACTTCCGGGTGATTACTGTTAGGAACGTCTAGATAGAAACAACGGGACATTACTACAAACCTCTTATTCGTTTAATCCTTACGATTTCACCTGGAACAACTATGTCCACTTTAAGAGGGCAGTGCTGTTCTTTCGGGAAGCTGATTTGGAAACCTCCATTCGCTTTAGATTAATTAATCATCCAACCCAACTTACGGAAGCCTTTTAGGGCCATTTGTTTCTACTAAGATACTAAGTTGAAATTTCAAGATACAGATGTTGAAATTTCAAGATAGTATCTTGAAATTTCAACTTCGTATCTTAGTAAAAACAAATGGCCCTAAAAGGCCAAAACATTTCAACTTAGTATCTTGAAATCTCAAGATAGTATCGATTTTTTTTTTAAAACAAAAACAAATGGCCCTAAAAGGCTTCCGTAAACTACATGTATCATGACTATTTTTCGCTAATCGCTTTGATGCTAAACACGCCTTTGCTTATGGGTTTTAGTTAACATAAGTAATATGAACATGATTATATAGCCTGGCCCCGTTCATCAACATAACTTGGTTTCGGAAATGAAGTCTCTGTCCCCATCTCCACATCACAGAATGTCTCTCGTTCATTAAACGGGTTCCATTGTTGGTACGCGACGCAAGCTTAGCGTTTTTAGCCAACAGAGGACGGTAAAACAATAGTAAAAATCTGTACCATATCCTATTATAGCTGCGCATGCGTAACATCCATGGCGTTGTTACAAATGCAAATAATCATGGAGACATGCGTTCACCTCGAAAGTTAGTTTTGGCCGAAAATAATTACAACAAACTGCTCTGCTAGTGTTAATGTTGTCGCGAGCACTTTTACTTCACAAACAACTTAACGTAGTCCACTATTTATTTCATTCGATACCGAGGACCAATGAATGCTATGTTTAGTGTCGTCCAATCGCAGCCTCGACAAATCGGCCTCCGCCTGTCTAGACAGGCGACCAGTCAACTTGCTCAGGCGCAGGAACACCATCAAATGGCTCTTCGAAACGCTAAAGTAAAGCCGATGCGACGTTAAATTTAACTCACTCACTCACTCATTCAAAACGATAGTTAGGCACGGATCAAATTAGAAACCGCGGCCTCGTACACGCGAGCTCAAGATACATTTAGTCGAATGAATGTTATAGATTAAAATTTAAAAAGATCTTTCCTTGGTACATGTATTATAAGTATTGGAAGTCTGTATGCTACCAGGCGTTACACGTTGGGTCTAAGAGGGCACACAAGTCTTGTACTGGTGATACCGCCGCTGGTGTCAATCGTAAAGGTGCTGGAAATTTGTCTGGAGATTTTTTAATTTTTTTTAATGTGCCTGAACAGAGACCATATACCGATGGTCTCTGGCCTGAATAAGGAAAACACTTGCAGCAATGTCATTTTTGTTGCAGACAATTTCTTCTTTTTTCCACAGCGTGAAGCATAATTATTTTTTTCAAGAATATCGGACTATTTATAATATATTGTGTCATTCGAACCTGACTCAAAACGAAGCCATGGTGAATGGGTCTGGAGTATATAGTAAAAGAGTTAATTAATGGAGGTATGATCCACAGGATAATCGCTGATCACAGGAACTCGTTATTGGTCAGTAAATAAAAATATATACCCCCTATATGTAAGACTTACATATAGGGAGTATATATTTGTATTTACTGACCAATGCTTACATATAGGGGGTATATATTTGTATTTACTGACCAATGCTTACATATAGGGGTTATATATTTGTATTTTCTGACCAATGCTTAAATATAGGGGGTATATATTTGTATTTACTGACCAATAACGAGTTCCTGTGTTGCGGATGCAGTTCGGTGTTTGTCCTTTACGTTTTACTATCCATTTGCTGCCTTGTGATTCTTGGTCTCAGTAAATAACAACAAACGGGACATTGTTTGATAGAAACTTTATTTGCACACTTAAAAACAATGTAACCAATACAATATTAAGCAGCAAAGGTAACAAAAGTCATAATATAATTAGCCACGAATGAACTCAACTAGTTGTACCAAATCATGTATTGCCAGCAACCACGAATGTGGAATATATGCATTTAATTTAATCAATAAAAAAACATTCTAGATGAACACATATAGGCAAACCCAACTAGCCATATTCCACAATGAAATCAGCATAAGGCCGGTCCACATGCAGCCCAAAATTCGCATCCGTGTTTTTCTTATCACACTAAAGCAGCGCATCACAGCGCGTAGACATGAACATTTTAGGTCGCTCAAAAGATATTTTTTCTACTTGCTGCCCTCACACACTTCTCACGTATTTCCCAGTCCTTGCTATGTGACAAGGTTCTCAGAGGATCTATGTTGATGTAAATCTGGCCTTCATTCAACATGCAATAAATTAATATACCTTCAATTCTATTTAAAGAATGATTTTTTTTTCTGAGCTGCAGCTGTAAAAGTATAATGCGTTAAATGTGGGCTAGGAAACCGCACTGATGTGCTGCGCTACATCAGTGTGTGCCGGCCTTAGAAAGGCAACACTAAAGAAAAAATAATATTGTTAAAAAAAATGTTATAGACTCTTTGGTAGCCTTTATAGTCTAGCTGGTATCAGATCTTCCGACGTTATAAATACTTTTCTTGCAATGTATCAAATCTTTTTAAATATCACTGTGAATAATATATATTATTATAATTCATTATCTATTAAATTTGATCACATTTATCATAAAACTCTCACTTAATTTAATTTCTATGCACTTAAACATTGGAAATATTCAAATAGTCCATAACACCCGCAAATATTAATAGGTATACTATTCTGTCCCAAATAGATCTATTGTCATTGGTCTTGGTGTCTCTATGTTTGTTAATAGTAACGATGGTGTACATAAAACAAACAAGAATACTATATGTATGACAAGCGTTATTCTTAAATGACACCTACAAGGGCGGTGGCGACAGACAAGCGGTACAAACGTTGTCCGGGTTCAATTTCCCACATGGGTACAATACCTGAAGCCTGGTTCTGGCCGCACACCCATCCCCTACATGAACAATAAGTAGAAAAATGAGCCATTGCTCTTGAAATGTGATCGTCAACCAAGTCGTTGTAGACGTCCATCTGGGAGTCGGGAAGGCGTCACTGCTGTCCCCGCCTCCATCTGGGACTTGCCTACACAGCCGTGGTAGCGGTCACCGTCGCCGAAGTCACCTCTACAACATGGACGTCACAGCACCGTCAAAACGGAAATTCTTTCTGAACTTATCACTTCAATTTTACAAATAATGTCAGTTTATCTTTTTAATATATTTGAAAATGTCCCTCTGTACGTTCTTCAACACAGAGAGTGAAGGCAGGCGATATTTGACAATAGTGTTCTTGTTGAAGAGTAGCAATCATATAACACTTCATATTGTACTTCAGTTTTACCAGTTTTCAATTATGATATATTTCCTTTTATTGTGTATTTGTATTTATTCACCTGGTGAATTCTCTTGAACGCCTCGTTTTAAAAGCATCGGGCTCCCCTCCAGTGTGATCTGCTTATGTTGTCTGGGTCGACGGTATTTCCAACAGAACCATATGGAACCAGTAATAACGACAACGGCCCCACAGACAATCGTTATTAGTGCTATGGCAGTCGGAGATATCCCCTCAGTTTTTCTACGTGGTCCTACTTCTGGTGGAATTGTTGCTGAAGCAAATTATAATCTTACATCAATAACTCCAATAGTTACGTAAACTATATTAATAAACTGTTGTTACTTATCGACTTGTTGATCACAGATTAACAAAACATTGTCACATGGCCGCTGAATGTGTAAATATATTAAAAAAAGAACACACCTATACAGCAGGATTGGATATGCCTTATATCACCTAGGAGTATACAGAAGATATAACCCAATAAAGAACATACAGTTCCCATTAAATTCGCGCGGATAAACGAATATCTAGATAAACGAATTCTGCCTACGGAGTACTCTCTTGACAAATTTAGACGTTTCAAACATCGTACTGTTGACTGCACTACTGATGATGCATTAAGTATACCTAACGTACATATGTAGCTACTCACTCGTGCTTGACCTACGTCCATCTTTGCCTCTGGTTCGAGTGCAGTAATCACGACACTGGTCGGGGGGCACTTCCGCCGGTATTCGGTCACAGTGAGGACTGCAGAGGTCACAGTTCAGGGTGACGTCGTCATAGTAACGATCTTCTGGGCAGTTGTGCTTGTCCGGTGACCTCTTCTTGCAATAGGCAGTGCAAGACGTAGGAGGCTGAAACAGTGGTGCTCGGTCACAGTGGGGCATGCAGTCATCGCAGTGTTGCGTCACGTCGTCATAGTAACGACCTTCCTGACATTTGTCATCTTGACCTGGTCTCCGAGTCTTTAGTCCTTGACCTGAATATGTAATTTGGTAAATGTGAAAAATAGACAAATCAGTATATTTTATTTTGATATGAGGGCGGCTGGGGAGGGAATAGGGGGCGCAGTTGGTGATTAACGTTGTTAAAAATTAAAAACAGTTTAGTTCCCGCTACGTCAAAATAAAGCTGACTTGCGCAATAACCACGACAAACACTTATCAGACAGGAGTTATCTATTGATTGCCGCTAGGTGGTACTACGTACCTAGACATCAAAGCGAAAGTAGAAACTGGCAATTCCTGATTAAGGTAGGACGGGACACTCATTGTCTGTTTGCTTTAATTAAAATATACAGGCTGAATTCATCCACAAATTGTATTAAAGGAACAGTCAAAGATATTCGAATCTAGTCTGTGAATGCGTCATCTTGTATTTCCGAACAGGTGATTACAAAGAGCAGGAAGTCTAATCAAGAGTATCTACCTGCAAAGAAGTATATTTTTCCATATTTAAAGCAACAGCTTTCGATTTGTTTTATCTTGATAGCTGTTCAGACACCTTTTCGAAAGCCGAAGGATAAGGTTACCTGTACCTGTAAGGATATTTCCAGCTTGGAATGGCCTGGTCGAAACATGGCAGACTATCACCATCAAGAGCAAAACCATTATCAATGACTTCCTCGTCGTCATCTTGGTGTTATTTGAATGAGTCACTATTTGATACTATTCTGTATACGATACGCCGAGCACTGCCAACAGTTATGATGAATCGTCTGGAGTAAGTGATGAAACGTGAATGCTTTCTCGAAACGTCGAAAGCGATCTATTTTTGACATGTGACTCTACAATTAAAAATAGAACATGGGAAATCCGGTCAGGTGTGTGACATTTCTAACCACACCTCAGCCCCTAAATATGCTTGTCAACTCGTACAAAAGAGGAGATTGAGTGCGTGAAGATTGTGTTACGCCGCAGTCGGAGATGTTCCAGCTGTATCAGGGCGGCCCGTACCTGACCGGTTCTGGGCCCGACAGTCGGGTTGTTGACAGCATGAGCTGACCCGTACATGGAGATCTGGCTTTTGGCTGGGATAGCACCTGCCAAATGTTTTCGCTCCAGTATCCGTATATACGTTTACTTCGCTATTAAATTAATACATGCTATGACGAAAGCTCGAGGTACAAGCGCCCCTCGAGTCAATCGTCGACGATGACATGTATTCATATTATTAAAAAATGTGTTTCAAAATCAAAGAAGATCCACGGTTGGCACACGACAATTGGATCAAAAGGAGACCCAATGAATATGGACATAGTGTGTTTCTTGTCTACGGGTAGTCTACGGAAGTAGTCATCGCGACAGAAAGCTAAAAGACAGCTAGTGTCCATACACGATTAATTATCAAGAGTTTACACATTTATCATGTAAGGGTGTGTGTTCTCGACGCGATAAAACAATCCAATGAAGCTCCAGATATCATTGCGATGCCTTCTTTCTCAATAAACTATTGAATAACGTTCCCAGTATGATTAGATGAGGGGTTTCCAATGTGTCGCCGAAAAATAGAAAAGGCGCCACCTTGTTGTGGTGACAGACATTAACAGTGAGTGAGTGAGTTGGGTTGAGCGCCACTGTGAACTTTATATTGGTTTGTGGACATTTGAATATCCCCTATTGGCGCCAACGTTCTGTAAACCCAAATATTCCAATTGCACATTTATGAACCAGAAAAACCCGACCGATTCCAGTTTTTCCCTGCATCGTTCACGGTTAGTTTTTCCTGGAGTTCATCAAAGATAACATGCATGTACAATTTGGGGATAGGACATTTAATCAAGAAGGAGACATCCTCAATGGCAGCATCTGTGCTCCCCTCTTTGCTGATCTATTTCTTTATGCATATGAATCGGGATTTTTGCTCAGACTGGCAAAATCGAAACACGTGAATTTGGCAAAGAAGTTTAACTTCAGCTTCAGGTATATCGATGATCAGATATTGTTTAATAATGGACAAGTAGTCAATTCCATTTCACTGATTTACCCACCTGAACTAGAAAATAAAAGAGACAAGTGAATTCCCAAGTGAATTTAGGGTTTATCGTCAGGACGCATGGTACACTCCGGTTATAATTCAGGACACGTGGTACAGGGTATAGTCCAAGGCACATGGTACAGGGGATAGTCCAAGGCACATGGTACAGGGGATAGTATAGGACACGTGGTACAGTCAGGGTATAGTCCAGGACAGGTGGTACAGACAGGGTATAGTCCAGGACAGATGGTACAGTCAGGGTATAGTCCAGGACACACGGTCCAGTCAGGGTATAGTCCAGGACACATGGCCCAGTCAGGGTATAGTCCGGGACAGGTGGTACAGTCGGGTATAGTCAAGGACACATGGTCCAGTCAGGGTATAGTCCAGGACACATGGTAGAGTCAGGGTATAGTCCAGGACACATGGCCAACTCAGGGTATAGTCCAGGACACATGGTAGAGTCAGGGTATAGTCCAGGACACATGGTAGAGTCAGGGTTTAGTCCGGGGCAGGTGGTACAGTCGGGTATAGTCCAGGACACATGGTCCAGTCAGGGCATAGTCCAGGACACACGGTCCAGTCAGGGTATAGTCCAGGACACGTGGTACAGTCAGGGTATAGTCCAGGACACTTGATACAGTCAGGGTATAGTCCGGGGCAGGTTGTACAGTCAGGGTATAGTCCAGGACACATGGTCTAGTCAGGGTATAGTCCGGGGCATGTGGTACAGTCGGGTATAGTCCAGGACACATGATACAGTCAGGGTATAGTCCGGGGCAGGTGGTACAGTCGGGTATAGTCAAGGACACATGGTCCAGTCAGGGTATAGTCCAGGACACATGGTAGAGTCAGGGTATAGTCCAGGACACTTGGTAGAGTCAGGGTTTAGTCCGGGGCAGGTGGTACAGTCGGGTATAGTCCAGGACACATGGTCCAGTCAGGGCATAGTCCAGGACACACGGTCCAGTCAGGGTATAGTCCAGGACACTTGGTAGAGTCAGGGTATAGTCCAGGACACATGGCCCAGTCAGGGTATAGTCCGGGGCAGGTGGTACAGTCGGGTATAGTCCAGGACACATGGTCCAGTCAGGGCATAGTCCAGGACACACGGTCCAGTCAGGGTATAGTCCAGGACACACGGTCCAGTCAGGGTATAGTCCAGTATTGTGACACTTTCCATTCGCATGTAGATTTACACTTGTATGTTAAGTGCACACGTGTTTATAGGTGTTAGCTGAATGTTTTTGTTCACATATGTTTACAATAGCAGGTATATATGTATCATTGCCCTCAGTGCTAATTTGCACGTAATGTGTAGTCAGACGATTCTGCGTAGTCGTAGTGACAGAAGCGGGCGTAAAATGTGGACTTTAGCACAAGCTGTGACAATTTATCTCGATATAAACTTACAATAGTATTAGATGTGATACTGAAACATTATTGCCTGTGCACTAACTTCACTATAGGTTATGTACGCACGACAATATAGGTTGTGCGCCTTGCGACAAACTAGAATGTTCACCTACAGCAATAAAGGTTGTGTATCTGCAACAATATGGACCATGCAGTGTATGCCCAGTACAATATAGATTGTGTAGCTACGTCAGCATAGGCTTTGACTACGGCTACAGAGGGTATACAATATACGATGTGCGCCGAACGTCTCTTGGATGTGCATGTGAGCAAGCATGCGTCAAAAGTTTATTTGTTTTTTTTTGTAATTACAATTGAACATGAACTGAATTCAGCAAATGAATTTCCCAAGGCTTCACTTTCTGCTTTGAGCTGACACCGTTGCCAGATAATAACTTGATTTCTCAAGATAAGAATTTGAATTTTCAAGATTAAAAAATAATTATGTGGCCCATATGGGCTTCCGTACAAAAGACGGAGATTAGCCTTTGTTTCAGTTGTTTTGTACATCCTTGTAGTCGCCCGGATGTTGAATGCAAGACGATATAAACTGCAGATTTAAGCCCTCGGAGAGTCATTCGTTGCATCGCATTAACATTTAAATTAATACTTGAAACATCGAACTACAATGTAGGTAGATTAACGGAATTCAAGCATTGCAGTTCATTTGGCGGTAACAACAACAGTCTGATAAGCGACGCCAAGGAAATAATACTATGCAGTCGTGATCCGAGCATCATGAAGTCAATATCCTAAGAAAGGTATATCCACCTCTTGCAGGTCACGTGGTATTCAACTCTCGCCAGAGACCGATAACACCATTTGCATGATATTGATTATAACATAAATGACCGTATAACTCGGGGAACAATAGTCGTCGCCATTTATGCAACAATAGCCCGTATATAATACCTATACGGCTGTAAGTAGCATATATGTACATTTATCTAAATCGATATGCGGCTTCGGGTTAGTGTTATTGTCACAGCGGAGGACGGACCGTAAGTCCTGTGGTTTTATCAGTGTAGCAGAAGAAGCGTCAAGATGCCGTTCAGTTTGTTGAAGTTTTTTAAACTCCGTCAGGAGAAAGAGGACACCATGGCCGATCTCGATGCGGTGACCTCCGACATTGGGGAGATTAAAACAACTTCTTACAAACAGTTGGAGACCTCGGATACACCGCCCCCAGCTGTGCGCGGTGTTACTGATGAAGGCTGCAACAAAACAAGCGCTGGGGATCAATCAAACAACTACGTTCCTATCAGAAGATCGAGTACAAAGAAACGGACAGTTCCGTCCATTTTGAAAGAAGATGTGTTCAAAACAGATGTTCCAGAAAAAAATGCAACGGCACCGGAAGCTGTTGGAATAGACAACAATTCAAAGAAAACACCGGACACAGACAAAACAGACGACAGTTCACTGAAAACTCCAGATACAAACAAAACAGACGACAGTTCACCGAAATCTCCCGACACAAACAAAACAGACGACAAATATCTTAAACCTCTGGACACGAACAAAACAGCCAACTCACAGAAAACTCCAGAAACGGACAAAACAGAGGACAATTCACAGAAAACTTCGGACACGGACAAAAGTGAAAAACTAAAACATAAACAAAACGAAGCAAGGCTACAGAATTGTAAGTCTAAAATACCCAAGTCGGTGTCATTTTCAAAGAATCTTATCCACGAGAACGGTGCAGAAGACAACAGGCGCAAGGTTATCAGAAGATCCAGCACACGGACGAGAGCCATCCCCACCATTTTAAAAGCTGATTTTCTTAAAGGTGGGCAGCCTGGTCAGACGGAAGGACAAGAAAATGTTGGAAAGAGGTTCTACTTCGGCTTCAAGGACAAAACAAAAGATCCTAACTGATCATCCGCTCTGTGTTGTATTATTTGTTTATTGTAGCCCCAGGCGGAGTAGATCAATGACGGTCACTGCAACTGCAACTAATCAATGACAATCGTGACTTCATACCAAGCGAGGCTGTTCAAACTAGCATTGTGTGAGGTAGGAGAGTGATGACCTGTGACGTGTGCTGTTTGTGCACCGACATCGACAGCTCAGTAACAGAGTAGGGAGTGAAGGTTATGCAGTGTGTGAGTATATAGATGGTGTTTTCGTTTCGGGAGTTTGTGTGTCACACAGGACGTTACGTTGCCTTGTGATATGACAACCTCGTGGTGAAGACTTGCATGAAGATGTGTACAAGGTATTGATAACCCACCGAAATAACCACCCCCGATAACTAAGAGGTTCTTCCAGATACATCATGCACCATGCGGAGCTTCCCTTGTTGCCTAAGTGTTACTCTTGTAGAAATACACGATTCGAGATGAAGGGACAAGACTCGTGCAGCTTGCTTTTCCTGCTTATTTAGATTTCATTGTGTTGATCCCTCTAGTGATTTAAATACCTTTATTACACAATGTCAAGCTTAGATCAAGACTGGAAATCAAGGACCACAGTACCAAATGTAGACCCAGACCGAATGTCTTGGACCATGGAGCCACATCACACAGACCAAGACCGGAAATCTAGGACCACGGTGCCACATGTGAACGTAGTCCGGACGTCCAGGACCATGGTGCCAAACGTTGACCTAGACCGGAAGTCAAGTACGATAGCGCACACTCCCTCTAAGGATATGTCCCAGCGGGTGTGTACAAGAATTGGCACAACCAAATTGTTATTCTCAGGCGACAGACGGGGTGCTCGGCGGGAATGATACAGTGAGTGAGTTGTATTTTACGCCGCTTTTAGCAATATTCCAGCAATATCACGGCGGGGGGACACCAGAAATGGGCTTCACACATTGTAACCATGTGGGGACCCAGGTCTTCGGTGTGACGAGCGAACACTTTAACCACTATGCTTCCCCACAACCGCAGCGACTGATACATTGTACAATCACTGTACATGGTGGATAAAGACTAATGCACACAACAGCTTAAAGTGACCGGATGCTGATGGTGGTGTATGTGTGTTGCCGCATGTGGTCCCTATATGGTCATCACTATCCTCTGTATAGGTTTAAGTGACAGGATTACACAATGAAGAGTAAATAGAGAATCTCACCTAGGTGTCATTTGATATTAAATATATCTACACGAGTCAATGAAGGTTTTAAATTCTGAGGCTTGCCGAGGAGCTTTAACCTTCAGTCGACTTGTGTGGATATATTTGATATCAAAAGACAGAAAAATGAGATTCTATTCATCATCCAGGCTCATTCTTACAACTGTTTCAGTTTGTGAACAATAATAACCAATCTCTTGAGTGTGAGTGAGTGAGTGAGTGAGTATGGTTTTACGCCGCTTTTAGCAATATTCCAGCAATATCACGGCGGGGGACACCAGATATTGGCTTCATACATTGTACCCATGTCGGGAATCGAACCCGGGTCTTCGGCGTGACGAGCGAACGCTTTAACCATTAGGCTACCCGACCGCCCTCTTGAGTGTGAACAATATAGTGATCCGGCTTCTGTGGAAGAGAGATAAGTGGTGCCATTTGATTGTGACGTCATATAATCGATGTCACAATGACCTGCAAAGTGTATCGTTGCAATGGCATAACATGCCTGATAGTCTACTGTGACGTATCACTTGATCTGACCCAAGCGATATCTCCCGTGGAAACCATTTTGGATAATAAATAGAGGTTATCACGCGAGTGTGTTTTGGGGTGGTAAATATATTGTATTAGGAACATACATTATTTTAAGCGAGCCTTGGTGAGGTAAATACAGAGTGTTTATTCCTAACACAGGATATTTACCATATTAAAACACACAAGCGTTGTAACTCCATTATCATATGTCATTTTTATTATTATGTCATCGGAAATGAACTCTCCCACAAACGGTGCCTATACATTGCAAATTGTCCTGGAATGTGCACATTGATATATGACGTCACAAGCTCAGTTATTAGTCAACAGGTAATATAGTTCCAACTGAAACCTGTTTTAGACAGTGATTGTATCTACCATATTGGCAAAATTAATAAGTATGATACGTAAAAATATTGTGACAATCTATAGGTCATCCAGCAAGAGTAAATGCCCTTTACCAAAGGGAAGCTACTCTAGTCGATGAGACGTCACGTTTGTTCAGATTCTTCCTGGTCATGTTATATTGTCATAACGCTACGGAATGCAGTCAAATGTTCCACACTGGCTGCAACATGAAACAAAGTAAAATTCTGGACATGTTCCGGCCAAATCCAATTGTGTTTTAAATTTGGGAAAAAAACATGCCGCAGAGGTCTTCAAAGGTATGGAAATAGATAGGCCTGTCGCCCCCGCTCCGTTTAAGCCTCCAATGCTGCCAACACTTGTTTTAATACAAGGCCTCAAATATTCCCTGATATACGCTGGCTGATACGCTGATTTTCGATTTCTTAGAATATTATTTTGATAATGATATCATTTATCTAGATTTGTCTAGATGACCTATGTTCACTATACCTGACCTTTCTTTTTTTGCACATTAATCTGTAAAGGGACCCAACGCATATCGTTCTTATCCGTTGGCTTTATCCTGCCGAGAAACCTACCCATTATATGATAAATATACATTGATTGTGTATTGATGTCAGAATCTGCTCAATGAATCGGACATGCAATTGATCTCTGTTGTAAATATGTTTACTTTAATTTTGTATTAAAGTTACAATCCGTTCAATAAAATGGATATGCAATATGATCTCAAAGAAATATGTTTTTAATGGTTTCTTATTAAATTAGACCCTCGGGTCAGTTCGCAGTCGTGGCAAGTTTGATTCAATCCCTCAAACACCACTCTATTTTTCTGTTACCTAACATGTTATGCTGAATATAATATCAGTCGAGCAGTTACTGATTAGCCTAATTTCAGGGAGTGAGAGTGAACTTCACGCAGTATTCCAGCAACATCACGGCGGGGGACACCAGAAATGGGCTTTACACATTGTACCTATCCATAATGGATCGGACCCCGGTCTTCGGCGTGATGAGCGAACGTTTTAAAGACTTGGCTATCTAATCGCCCCTAATTTCATTAGTGAGTGAGTTTGATTTTACGCCGCATTTAATAATATGCCAGCAATATCACGGCGGGGGACACCAGAGATGGGCTTCACACATTGTACCCATGCCGGGAATCGAACCCGGGTTTCGGCGTGATGAGCGAACGCTTTAAGGACTTGGCTATCTCATCGCCCCCAATTTCATTAGGCTGTCTCAGTTTCACACATTGTGCTATATACAACGTCACAGTCTTGACATGACATGACAGAGAGTGGTACAATTTCTCTTCAAATGAAATTGTATTTGTAAGCAGGTTCCGGATGGCTTGGGATATGTATGACAAGCATGTCTGCACAATCCGCAAATATTTCCTCCAGTCATCTTGTCAACTGGTTCTTCTTGACTGAAACACGAGTCTGTACTGTCTAAGTGTATGTCTTTATGAACAAGTGAGTGTGTAATGTATTAAGCTGTGGACACAAACATGATATCACAGCGTAAACAAGCAAAACTAGTGGCTGATACAACGACAAAGCCGTTCGAGTACGACGACTCGAACGGTACGGTAGCTTTGTGGTTATAGCGTTGGCTCGTCACGCCGAAGACCCAGGTTCGATTCCCCACATGGGAACATTGTGTGAAGCGCATGGGGTACTATGAGCGTGGTTAGAAGAACAGTAGATGCAGGAGTAGTGGTAGTGGTAACTGACGTGCGCTACAGTGGCAAGTTCCTCACAAGAGGTTCCGGTATTGGGTATCCACGGACTATAAATAATCCACTCTGGGTCAGGGTTGTATAGATGATAGCGTGAACAACAGACGGGTCACATGCTGTGACCACCCGATCCTCACTGGCTGGAACAGACAAGCATTGGATAATGGGTACCTATTACATCCCCTACTTCCCACGGGCATGGTGAATTATAAGTGAAGGTACCTTTAACTTTCAATGCTACTCGAATGATTCCATTAAACACTGAGGGTACGATCGGGAAGCCAAACCAATATTTCTTGGGGAATCCACGCGAAAGGAGAGAGTGTCCTCCAACTGATGCACATGGATTAGCTGTGGCTGAAAATATAGGGAATAAAAATCCAGACTAATACCTAACAATGTTTAAATACCTGACTATATATTATAACCCCTAGAGGTGTAATACCTTGGGATTCTGGAAGATTCCAGCCAATGATTTACTGCTTGAGTACATCAGTACCCAGTTATACAATGCAGGTACCAGGTGCAGTACCCTAATCTACAGATGTGTGAGTGAGTGAGTATGGTTTTTACACCACTTTTAGCAATAATCCAGCAACATTAGTAGGAGTACACCAGAAATGGACTTCACACATTGTACTCATGTGAGGAATCAAACCCAGCTTTTGGTGTAGGAGTAGCAACTGCATTAACCACTAGGCTACCCACTGCCTCCTATAGATGTGTAAGGTCCAAAACATGTTTCTTGTCTCTCTAATGCACTGTTGCTTGTAATTGTCATAGTTAAGAGCAACATATCTCAGGCCAGGCTTATTATCCTCCATACCAAACCTGAAGGAGTTGTTTAACCTGCTCAGAAGAGTATTGATCCGGGGTAGAATAGGCCTTCAGCAACCCATGCTTGCCGTAAAAGGCGACTGTGCTTGAGGTAAGAGGTGATTAACGGGATCAGGTGGTCAGGCTCGCTGACTTGTTTGATGCATGTCCTTGTATCCCAATTGCGTGGATCGATGCTCATATCACTGGATTGTCTGGTCCAGAATCGATTTTTTATAGACCGCCATCATATAGCTGTAATATTACTGAGTGTGGCGTTAAACAACAAACACAAAACTGAATATTATTTCCATTATATTACCCTGTGTTAGCTTAATTTGGGAGGAAAGCTGGTCTTGAAGCAGGTCTTAGACAATTACCACTTCAGTGAAACCCACAAATGGTTGTGCTGCAAAACCATGCTTTAAGTCAGTGTTGTGATCAATCTGGTCAGCAGAGTCAGATTTTTAATCAGCCAATGAAAACATCACAGACTGCAACCTTGCCAACTCCTGCCATGTAATAGAGTGAGTGACAATATCATCAATATTTTGGTGGGGGACACCAGAAACAGGCCTCACAAATTGTACCCAAGGAGAGAACGAACCCAGGCCTTCTACTACATGATGAGCAAACGCTTTAACCACTAGGCTACCCCACCAGCCTCTGTTATAGAATCCTAGTCCAAAGTAATGGCCTGTAGACCATTGACAACAAAACACTGTTTAGTCAGTTTCCTTTATTGATATGTTCAATCAGTCACTTAGTGAATAACTAGCTCTTGAAACAATGGACACTAGCAATCATTAATGTCCTTTAATCACAGCTAAATCAGTTTGAATTAAAGCATGTCTGACCAATATTTCAGTTATATCACAACATGTCAGCTTACTGGGTGGAGAAGTTAAAAGTGATGCAGGTTCTTGAGTTTTATCACTTTTTCTTCCATAAACACAATTATCCACAAGGTACGGTGAGTTTCTTGTTACATGGCCACTGTAAATATGTCATCTGTGATAAGTCGGACTGAGAAACACAATGAGAAGGGCTGCCCATGATATCAAACAAATGGGATTTATTAAAACTTTATGTAATTTGTTTTTTTGTTTTTTAAATGAAATGAAAAACTCTTATATAGATTGACAACAAAACAAGTTCTTAATCTGATCCCAAGAATTACCATTGTACCTAAGCCAAAAAACAGATTAGTCTTGGTTCTCAGGCAGCGCCCGCAATATCATATAGTTCGCTATTATAAAGTTTCATTTTTATTTCCATTTAAAAAAACAAAACAAAAATCCTTAAATATTCCACGTCCAACCGTAGTCAAATACTGTATTTCAGTATTTTACTCATCAAGGAGGCCCTTTCCCAGGTTGATTGTACACAACTGTTTATTTGGTTACACAACTGTTTATTTGGTGACAAAACTGTCTATTTGGTTACATACTAGTTTGAACAACAACAAAAAACACTACCCGGGACGCCCGCGATATATTTTCAAAAGCCCTTGCCTGAGAACCAATTCATTTATTTTTTAAAGCCTAATAGCTCCTTTTATTCAGAGACCTACATGTATCACCAGTACTCTCTTGTTTAAGTAAGCATGAGTATGGTGCTGACAGACCAGACTTCATATAAACATTGTGTGTAAGGCAATATTAAATCAATAAATAAACAACCTTTTATAAAATTTTAGTCTAAAACATCCACAACCTTTCATCTGTCAACACATATATCTGACATAATATCACTACACATCTGTGACACCAACGTGTAAAAATAGAAAAATGAAAAATAAAATCTGACTAATACACAGATAAAATGTACTACACAAATAACATCAATATCCATACAGTGTGATAAGTATGCAAACCATCCTGTCAGTACATATTCCAGCCTCTATTTCATATCACAGCACGTCACTTATTATACTTATGACATACACAAGGTATATCAATCGTCGGGGTTCAAAACTCTGTGTATATTTAAACTTAACAATCCTCAGTAAGAACACTGATGTAGGACAAGACAGAAGTTTTGTGTAACTGAACAGTGTGTGTGTGTGTGTGTGTGTGTGTGTGTGTGTGTTATCCAACTGAGATGCTATGTTGCAGTTTAACATGAACACCCCCTCAGACTCAGTATACTCACTCTGAGCACAACCAGTCCTTTAGCCCCTTAATGCCCAACACCAGGCAGGGTAACAACAAGTATGGCATTCCTGGGGATCGAACCACAGAGGGATTGAGTTTGTTTGAAGAGTATTTCAGTCATATCACAAGGTGTCGGCAAAGGGGAAAGAAAAGCCTCAAGTGATGCAGGTCTTAGCCAATAGACGTTTACCACTTGGGTGAAGCCCACAACTACAAACCTTCAAACATAATCAGCATTCAGACTCATTGAGGAAGCACCATTTAGGACAAGTTGGCATAATTTTGGCACTGGAATATATTTCCCAATTGAGAAGACTTCTAAAGAATGTTAGGCCTCGATATCTATCGCTGTACACCTATATGTCGTCTGCGACTTCAGCCACTCGTCTGAAGCCTGAATCTAGTGTAAATGTTTGTTTGGTCTAGCTAGAACACCCAGCTAAAAAAATCCATATCAGTCTGTGACTTTAGCCGCTAATCCAAAGCCTGAGTCAAGGAAAAAGTCTGTTTGGTCTAGTAAGCTTAGCTAATAACAGTCTACAGTAAATAGTAACACTAAAATCTACTAAAAGGTGCTGAGAGCCAAGTTCAGGCTAGTGGACTCAAACGTAACCATAGAGTTCTAGATATTTTTTGTCATTAAACAATATACCTCAGGTCCGGGTAGTCCTGTGGGTACCCGGGTCCTACTCAGTACCCACCCGACCCGAGTACCCGAGTTACCCGTCCCAGCCCTGGTGGACTCAAATGTTTTTAGCACAGACTGCTATATATGAAACTAAAATCTGCTGAAAATGGTGGCAAGAGACATTTTGGGGTTAGCAAACTCGACTGTTTTGGCACAGAATGATATATATTTTATACAAAAATGTGTGAAATCATCTCATATGTAAGAAATATCACAAATTGTACTTGTAAATACATCTAAATGTTTTGTTCTAATCTCTCAAAGCCCAGCAACTTCATCTTGAGTCTCATCATATTCTTTGCTGATAATAAAGTATGTTTAAATGAAATGCCATGGACATTGCATAGAGAGCTTGATTTGCAACAAAGTATAACAAAAGACCTTGAAAAGAAACTGTTTGACAGCAGGTGTCACTTAAGGCTAAAAAAATAATAGTCTTGGTTCTCAGGCACCACCCGCATCATCATAAAGTCTGCCGCACGTTTTGTTTTTATTTCCATTTTTTTTAAAATATAAAAATCCCATTACTTTAACACAATGCACACAAAAATTGAAAATTGAAACAAAAACGAAATGTGGGATGAACTTTATGATGATGTGGGCAGTGCCTGAGAGACAAGACCATTATTTGTTTTAGCCTCACACAGGCATAAGCAAATGTTCAAATAACACACTGATACAGGCTTGGGATGATGTCTGTAGTTGCCATGGTGTATGTAACACATACGTGCCATTCTCATCAGTTACTGTGCAACAACCTGTCATGTGAAAATCCTTTGTCCTCAGGAAGTCTATATATGTCTGTCTCACTTAGATGTTTTTCTGACCATTGACACTCTTTGGAAACATAGCAGCAGATTTCAGTAGTAACTTCATGTATGTAAAAGGGAGCATAGGAATATACCACATAGGAATATTCCACTAGTATCTGAGGAATGAATTGCTATTATGTGTGTTTGGTCTAGTGAATTACAATGGTTTAATGTGAAGGCCAAGATAACCTTTGGAATAATGGCGTGTGTTGAAACCTGACATTATGTACGTTGAATTACCTCCCCTTGTCAACAAAGTACAACAGGCTGAATACATTGCTTGACATCAGTGAAAGGGAGTTTACACTTCCTGACAAATGTCATGGGTACCTTGTCATACCACTAATCTTAAAGCTCCTATATCTAGGGGTACCAGATTAAAAAAGTGCAGGAGCAAACCTCAAAGAACCCTGGCCCCCAAAATTTCTAACACTGAGGAAATCAGACAGCAACTATTTCTTGAATTAGCCATTAATTGGCTGACATGGGAACAAATAATAAATATATTCAAAGACACTCCATTGTGACAATAGCTTAACAAAAATATAATTTTTTATATAAGTACATTCATAAAACCCTGTACACCCTGAGAGTAGCACATGTAAAAAGAATTAATCATTGCTATTTCACAAGCTACAAAGATGTAATTTGGTGGCATATTTCTATTTAACAATTGGACCTATTTTGTGACTGCCATTGGACTTTAAGTATGGTAATTCAAAGAACTATCTGGATCAATTTTGACATGACAAGTAAGTGACGTCACAACACACATTATGATGTCATGATATCCGTACGGGCCACCCCACTCGTATAGGTCTTTACGACTTGAAGACTGGCCAATCAGATGGCAACATTTTTCAACAAGTAATGTGGTGAGGAGAAATGGGGTTTAACGTTGTGTCCAAGTTTATTGCACTTACATAGCGTGCGTGCATGCATCCCAACCCAAGATGTGACTGTCAGTGGATTGTGTTGAGTGAGCGATTGTTCTTTCACGCTGTCAGCAGAATTCCAGCTAAATCATGAATATTTATAGGTAATGATTCTGGTCCAGGAAAACCAGTCATTAGTGGTAGTGGGAGACTAGCATACAGTCTAGGAAATCTTTCATTACACACTACAATTCTCGCCTCTAATTATTAAAGACTTGCTTTTTTATATTCTAGATTGATTTGGTTTCATAAAATACAGATATTCCAGTCATGGTTCAGGACTACAGTAGTGGGGGAGCACCGACTGCTTGATGTTTCGGTGTGATGACACACAATCAGCCACGTCGCGCCTTTTGACCACCCCATCCCCTCTTCAAGAGGCGTGGCCTAAATGCAAATGTCCGATTGAGATTTTAAATTTTCCGGACCCCTGCCCTCTTATCATGCGCCTCTTGCAACAAGTAAGGGACGCTTGGGGCTCTCCCCCGGGACTCTCCACAGGGTCAGGGCTGAGTTGAACACCACTATCAGCAATGTTTAGCTATGAGCATAGTGGCTTGCACATATCAACTGGGTTGAGATCTAACCAGTGGTTGATAGTGTGAGCATGAAACCACATATTGGTGTGTGTGCTACAGTCAGCCAGGCCACGGCCTCGGGATTGTCTCCCCTGGTGACCTTTCATCCAATCACTGTCCCTTCTCAGAGGACATTGTCACCAACCAGTTTTCATTTTAGTCGCCTTTTACAACAAGCATGGGTTACTGGAACCTATTCTGCCCCAGAGGGCAAGCAGATTGCTGGTCTAATTCCCAGAATAGTCTTCACCAGTCAAGAGATGATCACCAGTGCCACTTCCTGTAAAAGACAATTCAAAACATTAGTTTCAAAACATGAATATCATGATTATTTCTACAGCCAAACATTCTTAAACATCATGATTGTCAGCCATGTTTGTAGGTTCTCTTTATTTTAGTTGTCATCATGGAAGAGTTCAACAAACATTTGGTGGGTGGAAACAAATCATTACGTGAGTTAAATACAAAGATGGTCATGAACAGGATCACAAAATTATTTGAGTACCATCTTGATGTGATGCAAACAAACCATTATGTTTGTCAATAAACAGTTGGGTCATGTTTGTTTGTTTGTTGTTTAATGCCGCACTCAGCAATATTCCAGCTATATGATGGCGGTCTGTAAATAATTGAGTCTGGACCAGACAATCCAGTGACTGATATCTTGAGCATCGATCCACACAATTGGAATTTTATGACATGCATAAACCGAGTCGGCGAGTCTGACCACCAGATCCTCTTAGACAAGCATAGTCCCCTTTTATGGCAAGAATTGGTTGCTGAGGACCTATTCTACCCCGGATCTTCACAGGTGAAGTTGGGCCATGAATAGGGTCACAAAGTTATTATAGTGGCAGTTCAGTGGGTTGCAAACAAACCAATTTGTCACATATTGCCCCTACCTATACACAGCTCAGCGAAGCCCATATCATCCTGCTGCACAGGTGTGTTGTCACTGGGCTGGGCAACAAGTGTAGTCGCTTGGACAGTATTGGTAGAAGTCTGATCTCGGCGTCGGAACCTCCTCCAGAGAAACACCAGTACCATGGCTATGACCACCATCACACCACAGATGGACACAAGCATGGGGACATTCACCGGGGTAGATGCTGGTCCGTCCTGCCCCGCATGTCCAGCTTGGAAGAACTCTAGACAAGACATAACAATAAATGTACACAGTATATTTGTTTGTTTGTTGTCACCGCACTTAGCAATATTCCAGCTATATGATGGCAGTCTGTAAATAATCAAGTCTGGACCAGACAATCCAGTGATTGACATCATGAGCATCGATCCACGCAATTGGGATACGATGACATGCATCAACCAAGTCAGCAAGCCTGACCACCTGTTAGTCACCACTTACGACAAGCATAGTCACCTTTTACGGCAAGCATGGGTTGCTGAAGACTATTCAGGTATTGTACACAGTATAAACAGTGACTTAACAGAAGTGAAACTGTAAATAAGGTAACCATACTCTGTTCATACTGCAGAGCTAGGTTATTTTCAGATGGGATGATACTAAATTCATATTAAATTGCCTGTGCTATTAAAGATACATGTGGACAATATTTCAAACTCTGGTGAGCTTAGCAAATGTGAAATACTCTCTAAATATATTTCCAACACATTTTCTGATCAAAATATCTTGTCACATACATGAGATACAGAATTTTCCAGCAAATGGGCATTTTATAACCTTGATTTGACATTATGTTTTAGATGGAATGACTACCGACCTGGATTGAGGAAGATCATCTTCCCGAGGCAAGGGAGGTAACTGACTATAAAAAGTCCAGTTTCCACCCTTGCCGAAATAGGCTGGAATTATGGAGTTATAATTTGGCTGAACTAATGAGACTATGCATAGTCCAATCAAAATCGTTCAACGAAATTGACATCTGTTTCGTAAACTGCAGTGCAGTTTTTGGTCGATTGCAGGATTTGCAAAGCATGTGTACCAACAACTTAGCATCAACAGATATTTTCCAAATCTTTTCAGGTTTTGAATCAAGGTGCTCACGTGATTTGACGCACTTCGTGTAGTAAAAACCCATTTTATTACAATATAGGTCTTGATTATCAACCAGACTGTTTCACTGGGCGATGCCATTTCAGTTGAAGCAAATGCAAGTGACATGAGACGTGAAATCTGATTGGTCAACGGGAGGGACATAGAAGAGACATAACTCATAATTGCCTCTGGTGGCGCTACAATCAAGCCCAGAAATTTCAGCTTTGTTCGGCAAGGGTAGAAACTGGACTTTAACAGTCAGTTAACTCCCTTGCCTCGGGAAGATGGCGAAGATGTGTTCTCGTCTGAATATTAGTTTCCATATTGAGGCATGTTTAAATATTCTGATCCTAAATCTTTGCAGTGAACATACTACAGGTTCATTTGGAGGCCATAAGCAGAGCTGTCACTGGCTGTCACTGGCATACAATGGCCTCTACATACAACTTATTTTACAATGTAAACAGACACACATTTTATATCTTTGACAGGGCAAATGTGTAAACAGTTATGGCCATGATGGCAACAGTGTTGGATGAAGTACCTGGACAAAACTTGTTGCAGTCAGAGTTAGGATCCTTCAAGTACTCCCAATAGCAGATCTCATTACACCCCTGGCATCTGCTAACAGCCTTGTCATAGTACTGGCCACTTTGACAGTGCTTCATGTCTGGAGAGGGCAGTGGCTAGAAGAATCTGCTGTGAATGGAGAGATCATAATGCCGATATGTGATCAACCATGAGATAAGGGACTTTATGGGCGAAAAATCACGTTTTGACTTTTCATTATCAGTTAAGACTACAGCATCTTCGGAACACAGAAGTACAATTCACAAGTTTAAAGTCATATTTATTGGAGAGATACATCACATCACACACATCGATCTTCACTGAAGTAAGTTGATGTCAAACGTCTTTATGACATCATAGCACAATATCCTAGCACCCATAAGGTCCCTTTTCTCCTGGTGGGTCACATATGTTGTTTGTTTGTTTGTTGTTTACATCCACATTTGGAAATTTTTAGCTATATACGATGTTTGTCTGTAAATAAATTAATCTGGATCATAAAACCATTGATTGATGTTATAAGCAATCGTCTCTATCAACCAAGTCTGACCACCAGACCCATAAAGTTGGCTGGTACGATCGACAAGCATGTTTCATTCATGAGACTGTTAACTATTTGTTCCTCCCACTTGTATGCACAGGAACTCGTTATTGGTCTGTAAATAAAATATATAGATCTACCCCTGTAAGTTCTCTACTTACATACAGGGGGTATATATTTTTATTTATTGACCAATAACGAGTTCCTGTGCTTGTATGTCATTTTATCAGATGATCACGCATTATCTAAATTCTCACCCATTTTTCTACCCTACCATTGCAAAGAATTTTGTTATCATGAACAAAACATAACGCATTATGCACACAAACCAAAAATCATGAAGGCTAGATCGCACCTGAACAGGTGTGGATGTCTTCTTGGTGAAGGCCAACAAGCACCGAGTTGGGCTGATTTGTGCTTATAAAATATTCACCTTGCCAACATACACGCACTAATGGGTAAATATACGTCTGTGTGATGAATGAATACCTCGAAATATATTTAATAAATCTGATAATTACCTTGCTTAATATACTGCGCCTCTTGTGCAAGCAAACTTTCCACGAGGGAATTCCCCAGTAAAATCTCCAGGAAATATCCCCTCTGCGGTCAGCTGACAACATATAGTTCTCGCTGCAGGTCTTTCTGTCGTACAAATATCTCCACATGCTTATAATGACAGTTTGGAAAATAGATTGTGTTCACATTGATCAGCTGTTGTCAGTATTTTGCCTATCACTCGACTATTTCGTGAGGGTTACGGAAAGGGACGAATAGTTTCTAAACAAGATCGTTTATTTCCGGTGAAAGTCATTCGGCACCACTCGCTCCTTTCCGTAACCTGCGAGTGATGAATCCACCTGGCAAGTTCGAATCCCTCTGGCGTGGGTCTGCATGCATTTCCATGAACAGTCCAGACCTGACAACTTTCATGCATACAGTTTGAGTCTCAAAATATTCAACCTCATATATAAAGCTCTCAATTCAAGATTAAATAATCTCAAGCCAAATCCAAACTGTATGCTGAAAACAAATTTGTAGGAAAATTATCTTTGCGTTATTATAAAAAGGAACCATGCCAGAAACTTTTCACAAAAGCCAAAAATGACACAAGAAGGAAAAGTAAACATCCAACATCTAATTAAGCTATGACTCAGGTGCCAATACAAAGGAAAATGTCCGCTTGGGAATAGTTTGACTGTAGCCCAGGCAAAATATTTTTATACACGTGTAAGTTAAACAATCTGGTCTTGCATACACTGAAGTTGACAGAAGTTTTATCTTTATTAAAACATATAAAAGTCAGAAGGAATGTGTGCATAGTGAGAAAGAAATGCAAACATTAGTGACTTGTTGCGTAGCCATTTGAGCTCTAGATCATTCTTGTCATTAAGCAATATATCACGTGACTAACCACGGGTCCGGGTATAGTACTGTGGGTACCCAGGTCCTACTCAGTACCCACCCGACCTGAGTACCCCGTCCCAGCCCTAGTAGTGATGCGTACGAGACTGGAATACACAAATTACAGTTTAATGAGGTACATATCGTATTCGACGTAGTAAGCGACTAGGACGCTCTCAAAATTAGGTCTTATGAGAATATTATTTTGGTGAAGGAAAAAAACAGTTGAAAGATCGTAAATTTCGTGGTTTATGCTGACAGCCTGAAATGTTTATATACGATAGATATATTTGTCCAGAATGTAATTGCCCATAATTAAGGGTACATATAACACACGAGTGCGTATCATACACGAATAATATTCTTATGTACATTGATCAATCGGAAGGGGGGCTATTTGGGGTTGGTTACTAGCCAATATATCAGCAAATATCGCCATGGGCGCTTATTAGAGCGGGCGCTTATTACGTCGAATACGGTATGTCATATTTTCCTTTCTGCATGTCTAGAAATAGTTTTTTCTGTGGAACTCCCCACATAGGATTCCACCCTCAAACCTGACCGGGACCTACGTCCCCTAAACCCTGGTTCTCAAGCACTAAACTAAATGGTTTTGGAAACTCTGCATTGTCTGCAACACTTGTATATCACTTGATTGTCTAAATCCTAGACATGTACATAGTGTCTCATGGCAGGCATGCATGGAAAACCTTGACTTTCGTTTTTAAACGATGTCATATATATGGGGTGGGGTGGGGTGGGTTTGCTTGCATTTCATTGGATTTGTTAAAGTCATTGTCACGCATCAATTTATTTATTACAACAAGGAGACAGCCCCATGTCTATGTTGTGTCATTGTGTGAAACACACACCTTCAGTGTGATTAGTATTTCCTTCAACAATAGTCAAACCAGCAATAGCAATATATATGAAACTGTGAGTGAGTTGGGTTTAATGTCGCTCTAAAATGTATTTCACTTATATCACAGCAAGTATGTGGGAGGAAAGCCTGAAGTGATGCAGGTCTTGGAGGAAATATCAAATGGTATGTAAAAAAAGACATTCTAATGGCCTCCCCAAAATTTCTCTGTTGGTAGGAATTATTTGATTCCAAGGCATTGACAGACACAGACACAGACACAGACCAGACCAGACCAGACCACACCACACCACACCACACCACACACCACACACCACCACGCCATCACCAGTAGTAAACATCACAATCTGAGTGGAAACCATGATGCAGGTTGTAGACATTTAGCAAAGATCAATATTGAAGGTACAATATGAGAGTATATCTGGGTTTCTAATCCATTACAAAACTGATGGTGTCATAGCAAAGGGAAGCAGCTCTGCCCAACATGCACCCATGATCATTGGAATACACGGGTCTCCTGGTCTTAACTCTTGTACTGCAGTAGCCAGTTCAGCAATCTGTGTTCCTCCTCCGTGTCTAAACTAGACAATGCATTGGTTGATTGTGTGAGTGAGTGAGTGAGTGAGTGAGTTAAAATGTAACATTGCATCACCATTATTTCAATGATATACAAACTTGATAGCCTGAACAACGATCCATAGAATAGTTACATGGACAGATCCCATTTCAAATATGCGCATCATGCACAAATACATGTCTTGTAAGGCTAAAAAAAATATAGTCTTGGTTCTCAGACACTGCCCGCATCATCATAAAATCTGCTGATTGTTTCGTTTTTATTTCCATTTTTAAAAAAATACAGAAATTTCCCTTTACATTCCCTGTTTCAATGCGTATCTTGTGTTATGGTAATGGAGGCAATGGGAGTTTGGATGCTTGTTCATGTAGGGGTGCCCTTTCCTAGGTTGAAGGTAACTGTTTATTTGGTTACAAACTAGTTAAACAACCAAAAACAAAAAGAAATCACCAACTGCCTGCACTATATTTTCAAAATTCATTGCCTGAGAACCAATTCTTTTATTTTTTTTAGCCTAACATATCTTTTGATTTAGCCTAAATGTTGCAATGTCCTGGCTGAGAAATTAATTAATTTATTGTTGCATTAAAGATTATTTCACTAATGTACTTGTCGGTATGGCTGTGTACTAGTCCAGTCTTCTATCAGTTTTATAGAGCGCGCCCATTGAGATACCATGCTGCAATTTAACATGAATACTCCACTCAGACACATTATACTGACTGGCCAGTCTTTCTTATCTCATAATGCCAAGCGCCCAGGAAATAGTATTCAGACAAGATACAAGCTCCTTTCTATACAGTTTATTTACAAATGGTTACAGAGTATCATTTTCTACCTTTCCCCCTCTTCCCTCCTTTGCCTCCCTTGCTCATCTTCCCCCCCTTGCCCCCCTTGCCCCCACCCTTCTGCTTCTTTGGGGTCTTCTTGGAGCCATTCTTCCTGGATCTGCAACACAATGAGGTCAGTCTCCAGGTAAGTGCAGCATGTTCATAGTAACATACAGGAAGTTCAACAACAGACAAATGGCACACGGACAGTTTCATGATATTATCAAAGTTTGAGACAACCATCTAAAACATTACCAAATCAGTCAATGTCCTGATGAACTGATCTGATTGAATGAATTTCTTTTTTGTTTTACGCCTCACAAACTGAATTGAAGCCTGTAATATGCAATAAAACTGACTTCATTCAGCCCTATTTATATTTGTCACAATATTAACATTATAAAGTCAGCTGCTTCGTGGATAGGTGTCCACTACTGTTTAGTGGCTGTTGAATAAACAGAGTTACCGTACTATTAATCTGTTATTTCCAGAGCCTCCTGCACTATGTTTTAAATAAGGGATAGAGGCCAAGATGTTTGGACAAATTCTTTAGGCACAGCATATTGAGGTTACTTCTTGCCCCTTCACAAGACATACAGCCCTCATGACTACAGTCAGTGTCTAACCCTTATGAGTCTCTATACAACTCATAAACTACCCCTAATTGCCTATCAAGTGAAGGTGTGAAGAGATCACAAACAGCTGGAAGCTTAGAATTTGGGGTTGCAAGATATATGAGTGAGTGAGTGAGTGAGTTGGATTTACCGCCGCTTTTAACAGTATTCCAGTTATATCACGGCTCGTCAGCTTATGTGGGAGGAAAGCCCCAAGTGATGCAGGTCTCAGACGTTTACCACTTTGGTGAAACCCATGAGCACGGGTATGGTGCTGACAAACCTAAAAACATAATCACGGCAAACCGGGATTCAAACCCACAATCATAGGTTTCTGGCGTGCCCAAGGGACGCAACTCAGCACAGCGAATCACGGCGCCTTGGACGACTGGGCTACCTGTGCCCCCTGGAAGATGGATGAGGAGATGAATATATCTTCAACAGTATGATGTTGAGCTGCGACAGCTAATACTTAAACATAAGCATGTTCCTTTGCACAATTATACCACATATTGTGTACAGTAAGTGCAAGTGTTCCCCTACATGTTCCAGATGTACTGGCATTTCCCACTGATATAAGAATAACCTGGCTTGACTTACTGCTCCACTTGTTCATCTCGTATGTGTGAATTGACGGCCTGGGAGATGTTAAGTTTTGGTTGCTGATTACAGATTGAGTTGAGAATGTCCATCTGTCTGGAGGCCTCCATCTTCATATCACCATAGTTGGCTTCAAACTGTTCAAGAAGCAAATCACAGATGTACAGAGAACTCACAATCAAATAGTCAGCTTAATGTTATGTCACAATGTCCATGTTCAGCCTCATAGCTTTGTTTGGTGGTTGTTTAATGCTGCAATCAGCAATATTGCAGCTATATGATGGCGGTCAGTTATTAATCGAGTCTTGCCCCCACAGTCCAGGGTGAGGGAATGAGTATGGTTTTACACCTCTTATTTTAGTTTAATTAGGCGGGTGACTTGCAATATGTCCCAAATCAATAAAGCTGGGATGACAGGAGGGCACGGCTTTAAAAAGAACAATGTCATTCAACTGATCATTTCTTATGCTGACAACCCATTTTTTTTAATGATATTATTTCTGACTGCTGTTTGCAATAACTATGCTATTCCAAGGCTTGTGGAAAATCACAAGGACAAGTAAAAAGCCATTGGAGACTTAGTTTGATAAGGGCTGTGGTGTATCTGAAAACAACATTGCAGTCGCAAATTGCTATATTGTTGATATGCAAAAGGTCCTAGTCGTGTGACAAGCTGAGACCACATGGCCACACTACTACCGCTGTGCTAGCAAAGAAAATATATGTTTACATAAATGTCCTTATAAAAAATAAACATGCATTTGTTTTCAATGTACCAAAATGACAGCACAGAAGTAATTTTTTCATTATTAAACAATTCAACAACCATATTAGCAAATGAGATATCTCCCCTAGACAGGTTTCCCACTGCGTATATATAGTCTTCTCACCTTCCTTTTCTTGCCAGTGTATTTTGACTTCTTTTCATTGGGCAGTTTATCCGTGAATTGACCAATGGATGCTGTGGACTTTCTTGCTACTGCTAGAGCCTTAGATAGATGGTCTTTAGAGGGTTTTTCTGTTGGTGTCAGGCCAACCCCAGGAACTGCAAATAAACCAACCAGGTGTTAAGAAGTGTTCAATGTCACATATGTACATGTCTAGGCCACTGTTATAAAGGGTCATTTATGATGTGTACATTTTGGTGTCAGTGAAATTAAACCAATATATGAAGGAGTGAAACGTCAGCTTTACTATAAACAAGATAAAAGTTTTGTTTTTCTTCCAAAATCACATTTCCCAGAAATATGTTGCCAAACAGTAAACGTCAATTTGTTTTAGAAGTTTTGATAATGTTAAATTTTTCTGACAGTATTTGTATATTTTATCAAAAAGGCCTGTAAAAAAGTGAGAACCCGGTAGACATTGTTTACGCCACAGTCAGCTGTCTTCAAGCTATATCAGTGACATGTAAATAATCCAGTCAAAATCAGATAATCCAGTGGTTGATATTATGAGTATCGACACCATTGTTGTACAGATGAGGTGAAATTGTGTTTAACCTTGCGTCCAAGATTATTGCATAGTGACATGCATGCACGTCTGTGTTGGTGACTGCTTGTACTAGTCCGGACTGATGCCTATTTATAGTGCTAGCTCACTGAGATACCATGCTGCAGCTTAACATGAATACCTGACTCGGACACAGTATACTGACTCCGAGCTGACCAGTCCTTGTTTTAGCCCCTTAATGCCGAGCACCAGACAGTGTCACAACAAGTACCATCTTCTGACGTCTTTTGGTATGACGCGGCCATGGATCAAACCCCGGACCTTCCGCTCTAAGGGCGGATGCTCTACCACTAGACCACGGAGGCAGTCGGTCCATTGGGGTACAGTCGTATGCAATTAAGCAAATCACTGTGCCTGGCTTCCCTATCCATTTAAGTGGCCTCTTCTGACAAGCATAGGTTACTTTAGACCAGAAACTTTACACAATGCATGTAAATAAGACAGTTCCTGAATAAATGAGCAAACTACAACTTCAATCTTACAGAAAAAAACCCTCGAATAACAAAGATTATGAAATGCAGAAAAATAGCAAAAGTAGATATTGATGTTTGTTTGTTTGTTTACAATGCACAGCAGTATTCTAGATATATGATGGCAGTCTGTAAATAATCGAGTCTGGACCAGACTATCCAGTGATTGACATCATGAGCCTCAATCAACACAATTGGGAAACGATGACATGCCTCAACAAAGCCTGACCACCCGATCACGCTAGGTGCCTCTCACAACAAGCATGGGTTGCTGAAGATCAATTCTTTCCCACGTCTTCATGGGTTGCCCAATTTGGTTGCCTCTTACAACCAGCTATAAGGGAGATATTGATGCATCAGACTTTTCCTATTATGAAGTTGATAGATTTTCAGCTGATCATGGATTGTCCTATAAGTGCACAAATCTTTCATAACCAACCTTTTGACATCCTCGCTCGGCTGTAATTGCGGAGTCTCTGAAGCTCATTCTTGGCAGTTCTTTCAGACTTGGCTTTCTTTTTCTTTGCAAACTGGTCTTCGTTGGGATCTAGAAACATCAGTGAAAACATCAGTTTGACAAATGGAATGCCAGATTACTAGTACACTAAACATGACAAACCCAGTGTGTTCATATACAGTCAAGTATACATAGACATCTTCAGTTAACAGGGATTTATCTAGACCTGCTCAGAGGCAGAAAATGTACCCCCAAGTCTTCAACAAATGTCAGTAAATATTCCACTTGTCTCGCTCATCCCTCACACATCTCATGTCCCACTCATTGCTCATGTCTCACTCTTGTCAAGTTTTCTCTCATGTCTTGCTCATCTCTCATGTCTCGCTCATCACTCAAATCTCACTTATCACTCATGTCTCACTTATCACTCATGTCTCGCTCATCACTTATGTCAAGTTTTTCTCTCATGTCTCGCTCATCAATCATGTCTCACACGTCTCATGTCCCACTCATAACTCATGTCTTTCTTGTCTCGCTCCTCACCAATGTCTCGCCCATCTCATGTCTCACTCATCGCTATGTCTTTCATGTCTCACTCATCACAGATGTCAAGTTTTTCTCTCATGTCCTGCTCATCACTCATGTCTCGCTCATCACTCAAACCTCACTTATCACTTATGTCAAATTTTTCTCTCATGTCTCACTCATCACTCATGTCTTGCTTATTACTCATGTCTCGATCATCACTCATGTCAAGTTTGTCTCATGTCGTCCTTGTCTCGCTCATCCCCTTGTCTCACTCGTCCCCTTGTCCCGCTCATCACTCATGTCTCACTCATCACTCATGTCTCACTCATCACTCATGTCTTGCTCATCAGTCTCGCTCGTCCCCTTGTTTCACTCATCACTCATGTCTCGCTCATCACTCATGTCTCGCTCATCACTCATGTCTCGCTCGTCCCCTTGTCTCACTCATCACTCATGTCTCATTCATCACTCATGTCTCACTCATCACTCCATTCTGGCTCATCCCCTTGTCTCGCTCATCACTCATGTCTTGCTCATCACTCATGTCTCACTCATGTCTCACTCATCACTCATATCTCACTCATCACTCATGTCTCACTCATCACTCATGTCTCACTCATCACTCATGTCTCACTCATCACTCATGTCTTGCTCATCACTCATGTCTCACTCATCACTCATGTCTCGCTCTTCCCCTTGTTTCACTCATCACTCATGTTTCACTCATCACTCATGTCTCGCTCGTCCCCTTGTTTCACTCATCACTCATGTCTCACTCGTCCCCTTGTTTCACTCATCACTCATGTCTTGCTCATCACTCATGTCTCACTCATCACTCATGTCCCGTTCATCACTCATTTCTCGCTCGTCCCCTTGTCTTACTCATCACTCATGTCTCGTTCATTACTCATGTCTCACTCATCGCTCATGTCTCACTCATCACTTATTTCTCGCTCGTCCCCTTGTCTCACTCATCACTCATGTCTCATCATCACAAATGTCTCACTCATCACTCGTGTCTCGCTCGTCCCCTTGTCTCACTCATCACTCATGTCTCACTCATCACTCATGTCTCACTAATCACTCATGTCTCGCTTGTCCCCTTGTCTCACTCATCACTCATGTCTCACTCATCACTCATGTCTCGCTCATCACTCATGTCTCACTCATCACTCATGTCTCGCTCATCACTCATGTCTTGCTAGTGTAGAAATCAAAGATCCACAAACCTGCATTTTGCGGTACTTCAATAAGCCATGCTTTTGTGGCGTCATTTGCTCGTTTATAGCCCCAGCGAGGTCGATATTCCTGATAAAAGTGTTTTTACATACATTATTAGATTATTGTTCAGGTACACATCATAAAGCGAAGTAATTATAAGATCTATTTCATCTGGGGTTATATACTGAAACACTTTGAAAACACATTGTGGATTTTCACTCTTGATAAGTAACATGTGACTGGAAGTTTACATCCAGGTAGGACAACAGGAATAAGGATTCAAACTCAGACAACATTATTGCAATGTTGCTTGCCTTCCAGCCTCACTTTCACATACAAATTTCTTTGTTATCTGTCAGTTCACTGAGAATAGTTTCCCAATTTCCACTATGAGTTTTCACAGTGTATCAGTATATATCACATCCATCAGAAATATTCCAGCTGTATCACAGCAGCCTGAAAACAATCAATTTGGGACAGAGAAACTTCTGCTTGAAACATGAGAACAAAATATGTCATAAAGGTAGGAGGACCCATATCAACCAGGTCACATATTGTGACCATCCAATCCTCACTTTAGTCAGCTCTGACAAAAGCCCTAGCATCCTGAGGATCCATTCTGTCCTGGAATCTCCACAGGGCTGACCGACAAAAGCCCTAGCATCCTGAAGATCCATTCTGTCCTGGAATCTCCACAGGGCTGACCGACAAAAGCCCTAGCATCCTGAAGATCCATTCTGTCCTGGATCTCTATATCAAAACTGTTGCAAACTATTTATTATCTTGTTTGTTTGTTGTTTAAAGCAATGTTCACCGAGTCTGACCACCATATCCATTCAGTCACCTCTTACGACCAGCACAGTTTTATGGGGACCAAGTCTGACCCAGTGAGTGAGTGAGTTTGGTTTAGCAATATTCCAGCAATATCACGGCGGGGGACACCAGAAATGGGCTTCACACATTGTACCCATGTCGGGAATCAAACCTGGGTCTTCGGCGTGACGAGCTAATGCTTTGACCACTAGGCTACCCGACCGCCCCAAGTCTGAACCAGATTCCCACCAGAATCATTTTATCATTGAGGCACATCACACTAAGGAGCAGCTGTGTATAACAAACAAGTCACATCAATGCTGGTGCTCATGACGGCAGCCATAAACCACTGCCCTATTTCAGGACACCAATACTCATTTAAAGGTGTCATAAAGTTACATCCTTACCTTGTGTACTTCATCCCAAACCATGCGACTCTTCTTCCTGTTCACGATGCCCTTCAGCTTGGCGTACTCCTGCCATCTGCCAGGTGCCCGTGGCTTCGGAGCCTACATACAAGACAGTAAGAGTGAAGTGGGGCATAGACACGGCCTGTGGATTGTGAGTTTTACTGTTGTGTGAGACTGCATTCAGCAATATTTCAGCTATAGGACAGCGGACAGTAAATAATCAAGACTGACCACCCGAACGATTTAGTTGCCTCTTAAAACAAGCATAGGTTATTCCTACCCAGTATTCACTTGTTTGTTTGTTGTTTAGCGCCACACTCAGCAATATTCCAGCCATATGATGACGGTCTGTAAATAATCGAGTCTGGACCAGACAATCCAGTGATTGATATCATGAGCATCGATCTACGCAATTGGGACATGATTACATGCTTCAACCAAGTCAGCAAGTCTGACCACCCGATCCTGTTAGTCGCCTCTTTCAACAAGTGTAGTCACCTTTTACGGCAAGAATGGGTTGCTGAAGACCTATTCTACACCAGATCTTCATGAATCCCGTGTTCTCTTGGGTGGGGTTGGGAGTCTACATTCAGGACAGTCACAGTGAAGTGGGCTATAGACTCAGCCCATGGCATGGGAGCCTACATACAGGACAGTCACAGTGAAGTGGGCTATAGACTCAGCCCATGGCATGGGAGCCTACATTCAGGACAGTCACAGTGAAGTGGGCTATAGACTCAGCCCATGGCATGGGAGCCTACATACAGGACAGTCACAGTGAAGTGGGCTATAGACTCAGCCCATGGCATGGGAGCCTACATACAGGACAGTCACAGTGAAGTGGGCTATAGACTCAGCCCATGGCATGGGAGCCTACATTCAGGACAGTCACAGTGAAGTGGGCTATAGACTCAGCCCATGGCATGGGAGCCTACATACAGGACAGTCACAGTGAAGTGGGCTATAGACTCAGCCCATGGCATGGGAGTCTACATACAGGACAGCCACAGTGAAGTGGGCTATAGACTCAGCCCATGGCATGGGAGCCTACATACAAGATACTGAAGTGGGGCATAAACAGATCAAACATACAGTGAAACCCTGCTAATCATGATGACACTGTTTTGGTGAAATCGCCCAGATTAAGTTTTCCAGACTTACTAACCATGGGAGTGCATACTTTACATACACATACACTGATGTAGATGTTACAAACAGTAAACTTCCAGAAGGTAGGGTTCCCACACAAGCAGGGTCCAGAGTAACACAGGTTCAAGGTATACATATGTACATCAATGGCAACTTTATAATAACTCATCAATCTGAACAATCCATGGTTGTAAATGGTGTCGACAGAGTTTCGCCTGACCCCTCCCATTGAGAATACTGAGCTTAGCTTTCAGCCATATTGTTCCATACAACTAGAACTAAAAGATGTGCAAATTTCTTCAACTGACACATGAGAGGCAAGCATTCGATTTTTATGGATTTTTTTATTTTTTAACACAGCAACCAGTAATATTCAAGACATATGATAGTGGTCAGTAAGTAATCTGGAGTCTGGGTGAGACAATCCAGTCATTGACAATATGAGCAACGATCCATGCCATTGGGGTATGATGACACGCAATCAACCAAGTCACTGAGTCTGACCACCCGATCCACAACATTGTCTTGAACGGTAAGCTTAGGTTGATCAGAGCCAATTGTTTTCACATGGGGTGATAAAGAGGTACAAAAGGTATTAACACACTTACAGGTTTTTCTCGCGGAATTGGGGTTTGTGCCTCTGGAAGCTGGAAAAAACAAACAAAAGGTGATGTTGACGATGTGTTTTATTTGGGTCAACTTTTCTATTACTATGTGTGGATTATATAAACTAAAGTCATCAGTAGATATTATATCCCTGTGGTCCATTCATTTTGTTTCTGAGTGGAACATTATATTCAGTAAACAAATGTTGAAAACGCTCAACATCGCTGGGTTTATTCATTGACAGTGCGTGTAGACATGATGGATCACTGGGAGAAGCTCATGCACACTCACAACCCTGTTGCTATGCTGATGTCACCTTATAATTTATATCTTGCATCAAAATTGCAAAAATAATGTCATAGAGTATTGCAACGTGCTAGTATACTTTGTGGTGTTGAATTCTAAAGGTAGGTCACAATATTATATTGATATAGGCAAAGTCAGGCAAACATTCAACAAACTGTTTAAAATATAAAGAGGGAAATTCTGCATTGAGGATTACTGATTGCCTTCCTATATACTTCTTGTCCAGACAATAAAACATTTATCATGCTAATAGGGATTCTTTTTTCTTAAAGTAATGTTGTGCTTGACTAGCTGGAGTGATTGACTAATTGGTTCCAAACTAGCTTATTAATTCCGTGTCGAGTTCTGCCATACAGCCAGTACAGCCTTGCTTCTGTAATCTGTCTGTACCCAAAACAACCCAATACATCTGTGTTTGCCTCACCTGAGCTACTACAGCATCATCAATCTTCTCTGTTGGAAGCTGAAATTACAAGACAGATAGGTCCAAAATCAAATGAATGTGTAAAATGTCCGGAGTAAATCAAGTTTAGGATTTATCAAAAGAAAGTGTGATATCTGATGTTGGATGTTTCCTAAAATGTCTCGTATCTTAACCAGAGCAACTTTGACCCAAGTGTATTAATATTTTCTCGTTTCATGCTGGTTACTTCAGGGAACATTTGTTTTCTTGGGGTAAAAATCTCATAGAAAATGGGCCACTCATTTTAGCAATATCCCGGCACTTAATGGTGCTTTTGTCCAAAATAAATTTCATAAGTTTTTATTTGAACACTTCATTGTAATATTTGATAATGTTGTAAAGTTCACCTTTTTAAAACTGAGCATTAACAATTGGTATCAAAGGGGCATAATAATATTTTGTCCTTATATAGTTTTCATGAAGTAGCACTTCTATGCTATACATATATTTATCATTCAGCTGAGTTCATTACATAAGCCTGCTTACTATTTCTAGGTCTTACAAAGAGTGTTCCTTCACTTACCTGCCACAGTCTGTTGAGAAGCAGCTGTGTGTTATCTCTACTTAAATTCTTCAGGTAATCTTCACGGTTTGCCCTGCAACATGAGAGATAGTTCATCACTCCAAAAGACATAGTTAATATTTACAGGGTTGGCACCATTGGTCACATCTCACTCATTTGCAGCTCATTTCGGACAAATGATTTATGTCAAATAGAGAGATCTTCAGGAAAAACAACTAGTCCCTCTTAATTTTCACTAGTCTCGGGCTAATGGACTAGGCCATTTCTATGACTTGTTATCTTTTTTTCATTACAGTCACTAACTGAAAATGATTTGTATTTGACTTGCTGAGCACTGGTTGTAAACTGAATGCATGTATCACCAAACAATTATTCCTGGAGCAGTCAATGTGAGTGAGATAGAGTGAGTATGATTTGTAGCAATATTCCAGCATTATTACAGTGGGGGACACCAGTAACACATTGTACCTATATGTGGGGAATCGAACCTGAGCCTTTTATGTATCTCAAGTCTTGTTTAATCTGTTAAGAACAATTTATGTGACCTCACTTTAAAGAAATATACCATATCCTTGCAGTAATCAATAAAGTTAATGAGAGACTATGCACCACAATCTTGTTCCCATTTCCACCATATAGCACTGCATAGAAACTTAAAAATTGTCTTTATCTGTCTATGTAATTAGGGCCTAGGGCAATCATTGACATGATTATCTGGTCAATTGACACACATCGTAAAAGTTAATTGCAGACAAACAACTCCACTTCCTGGTATATACTTCAAGGTGCCAAACAAACTATAGGCTATTTAGATTATATAGATAGAGTAAGGCAAATAAGCACTGAAATCTGCATACCAAAATCTGTGACCATTAATCAAAATAGCATACAATAACACCACCTTACAATTATTAGCAAGATTGCAGGCTACCCCAGCCACCATGGCCACCTGCTATTCAGGCTTAGACTTTGTGGTCACCAATCTGTTCATATTGGGACAAGTGAAAATCTGGAAGGGCTTCTTTGTCTCCAATGAGATGTTTCACATAAACCAGTTGTTAGCCAAAACTGAGATGTAGATGAGCTCGACTGGACTTGTGATGTTTAGCCCAACATACTGCTTATCAACTCATTTTCACCATCTTTACTGATATCAAGTCTTCATCATTTTACCTAACACTTAGTAACAGTATCCCCTGGCTAGGTTGAAGATAAATGTACATTTCATCAATAAAAGTAGTTCATCTCTACAAAATATAATCTGAAGACAATTTTGACACATGAGAAATGAATATTTATTCAAGGCTTCATTCACCTAGAGGTAATGAAAAACCTTTGTGACAGACTAACACTGACGTTTTAAATGTTAATCTGCAGTTATCCCTGTCCCGTTTGCAATCTTTCTACTCTAAGGGTTGGTTGTGTTTCAAAACTCTACATTCTTTGACTTGGCCCCAAGCCCACTTCAGGCATTACAGTCTGGGGGCTCAAGATGGACTGCAATGCTAATTGAAATACAAATGGTAGGTGCGCCTGGAGAGAGTACAAGTCATTACACTCATGAAGTACAATAGTGTGACTAAAAACACATGCTTGATCAGTGTGGATTCCATTTTCATATTTTCTACATCTGGTAAATAAAACCGACATTTGTACAGTAACAAGCCCCAAACCTGAACACTTTTATGTCGATAGGATTTGGGTCAGACGCTAAAAGATTCCCTTCATCTATGTCAAGATCGATGTCCTTTTCAACCTCAATACTCTTGTATTTTGATTCTCTTTCAGCTGCTGCTCTGAGCACGTTTTCCACGATGTCCGCCATCTTTAGATGCACGCCGTCGTGCTAGATGTTAACTAATCAATGGTTGGCCTACAGGGCGGCATCGGACCAATGACATGAATTTTAACAGGTGCCCGTCGGCATGCCACGTCTGTCTGTTAGTCACTTCCTGGTGGCTGATAGCGGACTTGTGAACTGGCCTGGTGTAGCTTTATTTCCTACTTGAAAACATGGAGTTTATTTGGAATTTGACATAGCCAGATCGGATGCTCTATGTATCTTTTAATTCGTTTGGATCATAATGTGGAAGAAGGAAAACCTGCGGAAAAATTTTCTGCGTGTAAAGCAGATAGCGGATCAGAATTTAGGAAGGTGGGTCTCGTCTGCTTGCATCTGAGTCTGACATTGATCATTGAAATTAGCATATTTCTCTTTCGTGTTATTTGCTACATTGTTTCCCCATTAAATATCCACATGGGTTATTTACATATATTAAAATCAATGCTGGAATGTATATTTACAAATAACGTCTGTTACCACTTTCTAACCATGTGTCAGTGTCATGAGTCTTCGCTTCCTTCAGTCAGCCTTGAACATTCAGTGTGATTCATATGCTTTATGTCTATCAAATCTACAGAAATGTAAATAAGTGTCATATTTGTATAATAATTCCATATTGTTATCTGCTGTAACTATCCACTGAAACAGATTTCATGATCAGCATCATGAGGAAAATGTCTGGTATTATTTCATATCATTGAATTGATAATTACATACTGCAACAGTGTGCAAATACTGCAATATGTTTACATTTAAAGTCACATGTTGCTGTGGCATTTTGGTCTGATACCATCATGGTTTGAAGTTATCATTTTCTGCATACATTATGACATATGACTTTGTTGCACATAGGCCTACATGACTGAAGGTTTGGTTATAATTACATTTGGACCTTTTCAAGTTATTATTCACTACATCAAACACCATAGCTGTAATAACATTCCCTTCTCATGTTTACTGCTGAAAACCTAAGTTAATGTTAGATGGTTTTAAACACTGTAACAACAAGAACAACACTGTTACTGTACTTCAGAAATGTGATACAGCATCAAACCCATGCTCTTGGTGTTGATTGCCACACAATGTATGTCCGTCCAGTCTATACTCGTTAGCTATAGTATTATTACAGGTTTTGCCCCATGTAACACCAGATGTTGATTTACATATTTTACAGGGTTACTTTTCGAGGAGTCAGCCTTGGCAACAAGTATGTAATTTCTTCCAACACATGGGAGACAATTTTTCCTTTTGAATGCTTTCAGAAAACATTGTTTTGTGTAATACTGTCACTTGATTTATAATGAAATATAATGGCATACAGTTTACAAGAACACAAACAGTACAGTTACTGAATGTTGCTGCTTCGTAATCATCAAGAAATTTGCTAAGCCATTTGCACAATAATACTTTGTTGTCTGTTTTGATATCAATTTAAAACAAAAGTCATATCAAATGACAGCAATGCTTATTAACTTAGCAATATTGTCTTTTTTTTGTGGATAGAGCAAATAGTAATATACAAGATTAATTCATAGAAATGCCTAACAAAAAAGAAAAGAAATGAGGTGTGGTCCCAAAGCATTTGTAGTATCCTTAGAACATGTAGAATAGAAGATCATATCGAGAATTATTAATAATTTTGTAAATCACAATAAACAACATGCCACAAGTAGAAGTCATTCTAACCCAAACGCAGATAAGTAGGGGTGTCTCCAGGATGATGTCTATCTATGTCTGCTATTGGCAGTGGAAATTCCTTTTTTTGTAATTTTGTTTACCAATGAAAAACATCTTCTGTTAATTGAATCATTTCAATATTAAGCCAGGTGAATCACATCAGTATGCTCAGCGATATGTAAAGTTTCCACTGTATGGATAAAATATTTTAGAAATTTGTGTCACAGGATTCATAGCATCTGTTCAGTCAGTCAAGAAACCTGAAGAATTTGTCAATATTTGGGCTTACGTAATATCCACTCTTCAATCTGATCATGTTTTGGTGTTGTCTTGAAGTTGAATTAACACTAGAATTTGATATTACAAAGTGACTAGTTTTTCTTTGGTATGTCTAAAATAACATATTTTTACAGTTTCTGTGTGAAATAGTATATTGTGTGACATATCATGAAAAAAGAATTGTGATTCATCTCATATCATGTCATAGGTAAAGGTTATCATATTCATAAACTAATCATGCTAATTATTCCGGTGTAAAACACATTTCCACATATTAAGATTAAAACACAGTTAAAGAGTTTGCCAATGCCTTATTAAACTTATGAATATGCCAGGTGTGTTGTAGTTAGAGCATACAAGTAAGAAACATTTGAAATGATAGTTCTTGTTTAGTACTTTGGAAGAAAATACAACAGAGGAATTAAAATGGGGACCATATCACTTTCTGCTACTGTTATACTAAATGTTATGTAACAGACACGGACATATGTCAGAGCATCGTTATGATTACCCGATAGATCATCATGATCAAATGTATATTAGCTTAACCATGTTAACATTTATTCTATTTTGCTCCTTTTCAATAATTATAAGCTTGATAGGTATTTGATTATCAAATGCAAAGTATAACGCTTTTAACATGTATATGATGACATTTGTTTTTTTATTTACTTGAATACTTTTAATCACTGGCAAAATAAAGTTTTTGACCACTTAGTTTCAGAGCATCTTTTTGTGTTTACATGACAACAGAATAGCATAATTCATAGCTAGCTAAACTGACTCCTTGTAATATTTGGCACTACGATGCAGTCTTGTGTTCGACAATCTCATGTTTCAGCCATTTCCCATCATTGTATGAACTTCATAATCATTGAATGTCACATTTAGTCACAGCTTGATAAAGTATTACTTGCATGATGATATCAAGTTTTGTTCGAAATTCTTTCCTGTTTTTGCAAGTTTTGTATTTTGTTTGCACAATGTCACCATAGCATGTTTTTTTGCTGTTATTTCATCATGCTTGTCAGCTTTCATGATCATATTGTAATTTGTATGTTTATCATGTTGTTTGTCTGTTTAGAGTATATTTATGATTTCTTAATTGAGTTGATAAATTAATCATACCAGTATCTATATGTTATTCCACTATTGATTTATTGTGTTTCAAAGATTCAATCAGTAAATGGCACCAATAATTTAGTTTTTTTTGCAAAGTTTAGTATCACATCATCATCATCATCATCATCATCATCATCATCATCATCATCATTAGTTTTCAAAGTAAAAATAATAGTACTTGTATGAGAATTTGAAGTCTAAATCATGGTTCAGAATACTTTGAATACTGTATCAATAGGTACAGCCTACAGGTATGTGTTTTTATGGGCTCGATTTATCTAATTGGCCACATTATCCGAAATATTTCTTTTGCAGTTCATACAACTTGCCTTAGCAACGGTGCCTTTACACTTTGGGTACAAAGTACTAAGATTAGAATATCGCATTACTTATCCTATCAGTTGATTAGTATGACACACTGGTTATTATGTGGGTATAGTGTTTACTACACAAAGTCACACTACCTGTCACATAGGCTGTGGTGTTATGGCAATAACTAATCTAAACAACACAGTGGCACTGTTCAACTTAAGTAGTGTACCGGAATGTTCTACAAGTGATTGTGTTGACTTTATCTACTTTGTCTGATAGTGTGTCTTGGTACAGGTCAATTTTGATCTTCGCAAAAAGACTATTAGTGATTTGTTTGTTGCTCTTGAAACTTCAAAGATACTTTCTCATTATCTTATTATGATTTTGCCAACATTTGTTAATTAAGCTAGTTTTCAGAAGCCCTGGCAGTGTTAGAAACTGGCACTAGTGCTATAGTTCTTGCCAAATTGCCTTAATAGTTAAGGTATCATAAGGACTAGTAGTAATTTGCCATTTTTAAGGGTTTTGCCTGCTTGCCATCATTTGGAAAAACAACATGCTCTTGTTTCACACAAAGATGTGACTAATTAATGCACACACATGATGTAATTTTCCAGCTGAACATTTGTACCTCAGAAATGTTCTTTTATCTCTGTGAAGACTATATCCATTGCCCTCTTTAACATATTCATTAGTGACGCTACAGGTCATTAACGGTGGAGTATTTCCCCATGTTCATCTGACACTATTTAGCAGGGTCGTGTGAGACACTACATCAAGCATGTGTCACTGGCGACCTACATCAAACACCAGTGTATACACACATGTACTGTCTACATCTGTATACCAGGGACCACTGGCTCACAAGCTGGGGAGGGGGTAGCTTAGATATCTCCTGGAAGGCAATGGTATTTTACTTTAAAATATATAACAAATACACTTATTGCTTATTGACTTTTACGAAGAAAACACACCCTCATGTTGACATGTTCGAAATTTGTCCTTGTTTGTAAGTGTATGAAAATGTTTGGTCATGTGTAAGGAGTATGAGCTCAGAATGATACTCGCCTTTTATCATTTCTAAGTTGATTTGGAAGGGGTTTGAGTTTTATTTGTGAATTATTGCAAAATAAAATAGTGTTTTATTGTATGATAAACAACGACCACGAGTCATTTATTTCTTATATAAGATATGAAAATTATGTGCAGATGCTTTATATAGCCGTGTTTAAAAATGATGACTCCCTCAATAGAATCCGCCCTCGGCAATGTCGGACATGTCCATTTTGTGGCCAGGTGAGTATTTCCCTCAGATTCTCACAATCCTCAGGTCGATTGCCTGTACCTTTTCACCCAATACCAGTTGTCATATCTCTCCCACTTTTGGATGCGACTGTTCGGCCATCGAGTTTATCTGCATTGCCCAGCTACATCTATGGGGAACAACTCACTAGACATTCCCCTCACATAAATAAAGTTATCCACTATCTGTCAACAAGTTGTGAACGCATGTTCGAATCTCCAGAAATGACATCATGATAGAACAATGTTTTATTGTGAAATAAACCACACTTCATTCTTCATTGTTCTTTGCGGTTTATCCTGTAGCTATCTTATATGTGTCCTTCGACAACAGGAAAGTGTTTAAAAGATGAGCTGTATTAAGTGTTGCCAGCACACTTGATGCTGAGGCACATGTTGGTGGAGAATGGTCATCAGTGTAAGTGCCTGACAGGTTGCAGCACAGATTACTGGCGACAGTCATGTGTCCGACCGAGAGACTGGGTGTTAAAAACACACACTGCTCACACAGCACAGGGACATTACACTATGTTGTCACATGACGTTGCCATGGATGATGCTCACTAGTCAGACTTAGGGAGCTTCTTTAAAGGTTACACTGTGCAATATGCAGTAACCATTTTGTTTAAGATTGTATCCAGTCCAGAGCTTTGTGCTTATGATTGTTATTTTCATAATTTCCTCATTGTTTGTACTTATATACAGGGATAGACACAGTCACTAGTCTGAGACTAGTAACAATCTAGGTGGTAATGCTGGGAAGATACACCAACTGTGAGACCCAATACGTATCACAGTACTTTGCTCATGATCAGATACGTATCACGATACTTGTATGTGCTATTAATTGTGGTGCATAAACATTCTTTTTCATAGACAAGATGGCCAAATACCTGGCACACTGATAATTTACAGTTGGCAGTGTCAAGTATTGCGTAATATGATGAAAATACTTACATTTTTACCACTATTTTTCACTCCTTGTTTGTGTTTGGTGTAACAGTTATTAAAGCAAACATTTAAGGTAAGAATCAATATTCTTACTTATTGCGCGACTGTGATCAATCCATGTATCGAGAAGTAAAAAATCGGTGTATCATCCCACTACTACTAGGTGGACTAGTTTTATCCTCAAATCTAGTTTGTCCAAAATGAGCTTCGGACTAGTTGGATATGACCAATGGTCTCCACCCCTGATATGCAGGATTCGTAGCTTCAGATTTTGAAAGCACCCTTCAGTCATGGAACATTAAATTGGTGTCAGTGTCAACAGCTACTCTTCAAGATATTGCAAGACAGTAAAATAGTAGTTGTATGTTATGCAGACTGCCCAAATCTTTTCAGTCTACAAGCCCAATGTATTTTGTTTAGATTTTGTTTTATGGCATGGATTATTATTAATTCGGTTACTGGACAGTAAGAGGTTTTATGACACTAAGGTTGCAGGTTTCTTATACATTTGTTGAAAGTTGTGGTTAATACTTCAAGGAATTATCTTTACCAGGAAACAGCCGA